GCACCGGAGCTATAAATAGGCAATGACACTTGGAGATGATGCCTTCCCTGTGGAAGTAATGGGTGAAGTCCCAAAGCACTGGAAAGCCTAGAGGAGGCAGTGCTAAAGGGAATGCAACAGCCATTCATCTGCAGGCTATGTGAAGCCAGCTGTCTCTGGAAGAGGTCTGACTTTTCAGCAGGTGTGTAATCAACCTAAAAACCATAAATGGCTTCTGAGAGACCTCAATCAAACACACCAGCCCTCTTGGTGCAGATGCTTGGCAGGAGTTTCTAGACTGGGGAATAAGCAGAGACCGTTTTGGAAATGGAAATATGGCCCTTCCTACATAAAGCTGTTCACAGGTGTCATAAATATAAAAGGAAGGGTAAACCCCTTTAAAATACCTCCTGGCCAGAGGAAAAATCCTCTCACCTGTAAAGGGTTAAGAAGCTAAAGGTAACCTCGCTGGCACCTGACCAAAATGACCAATGAGGAGACAAGATACTTTCAAAAGCTGGGAGGAGGGAGAGAAACAAAGGGTCTGTGTCTGTCTGTATGCTGCTTTTGCTGGGGATAGACCAGGAATGGAGTCTTAGAACTTTTAGTAAGTAATCTAGCTAGGTATGTGTTTATGATTTTTTTTAAATGGCTGAGAAAAGAACTGTGCTAAATAGAATGACTATTCCTGTCTGTGTACCTTTTTTGTAACTTAAGGTTTTGCCTGGAGGGATTCTCTGTTTTGAATCTAATTACCCTGTAAGGTATCTACCATCCTGATTTTTACAGAGGTGATTCCTTTACTTCTATTAAGTCTTCTTGTAAGAAAACTGACTGCTTTTTCATTGTTCTCAGATCCAAGGGTTTGGATCTGAGAACAACCTATGCAAATTGGTGAGGATTTTTACCAAACCTTCCCCAGGAAGTGGGGTGCAAGGGTTGGGAGGATTTTGGGGGGGAAAGACGTGTCCAAACTGTTTCCCAGTAAACCCAGTTAGTTTGGTGGTGGCAGTGGAAATCCAGGGTCAAAGGATAAAATTAATTTGTACCTTGGGGAAGTTTTAACCTAAGCTGGTAAAAGTAAGCTTAGGAGGTTTTCATGCAGGTCCCCACATCTGTACCCTAGAGTTCAGAGTGGGGGAGGAACCTTGACAACAGGTATCTGTAGCCCTTCTGGGAATGAGGGGGATTGAGACTCTTCATTCAGGTTCTTAAATTTGAGATAAGAAATTCTCCGGTTGGAAGGGAAGAGTGCCTCAGCAGGGGAGTGCCAAAGATTCCCCAGTGTTCTGATCTCTAAAAGCTCTAATAAATAAGGAGTGCTGATAGCCTAGCGCCAAATATCGGGGAAGCCCTAGTTTGCTGTTATGGTGACTCTGGCTAAGTTGTAGCTAAGATTATTTAAATGCAGATAATATGGATTCTGCTATCAGCAGGAAAAATTCTTAGTCAACATGTGGAAGTGTGAATTCCTTTGTGCTTGAGACTGGGCATGGTGTAGCAGCTTTCCTGTTTAGCACCCCCTGCTAACCCCTGGGGCAGACCCCTGGGGCAGTCTGCCTTGTATGACTTGGCCCTTGTGCCAGTCACACTTTTTGTTCCCACCCCTTCCAGGCTTCTCCAGTTCAAAGTCCACAACAATACCCAAAGTTCCAGTCCCTTCAGCCTCACTTCCTGGGGTTTACCAAGATTCCCAAGTCTTCACCCAGGATCTTCAACAGAGACCACTCAAAGAAATCCCACCTCCAGTACTTCTAGTCCCATTCCACTCCCAGCACTTGATCAAACTTTGTCTTGGGCTCACTATGGCAGAACCCCATGCCTCCCACTGTCTTGGTACCTTCTGTCTCATCTCCCTATTCAACTGTCTTTCAGGCCTACTGCAGTGAGAATCACCATCTCCTGTAGCCTTTATCTCTTAGCTGCTCACACCCAGCGTTCCCTGCCTCTATCAGGACCTGGGGACCTCTGCTTTCCAGGCTTCCTTTCCAGGTTCCATACATGCCTTCCTTGTGTTTCTTGCTGAGGCTCAAGCTACTGCCTGCAAAATTCTGGCTTGCTTTTTACTTCAGAGCACTGCCTTCTGGCTAAGGCCCCTCCAGTCTGACTCCCAGCTTCAGGCTCCTCTCTTAGGCTAAAGAGACAGAAGCCTTAGAAGCAGCCAGCTACCTCACCTGGGTCTCCTCCCTGGCCTTCCTTCTCATGGTCCTGTGCTTCTATTATGAAGACCCAGCTCAGCTTGATCACCAGTTATGCCTAACACCCTTCCAGGTGCCACCCAGTGATCACTGTAATTGGGTTCAGGCTCCTGTTAACCTATGGCTAACTGGTATGGGGTTTATATGCCCCATCACACACAGTTTTGCCAGAGAAATAATGCAAAGATTTTTTTGCTGCTTTTATGACTGCTTTCATTCATGAAAATCAGACATGATTTAATGCAAAAATCCTCCAGCTCAAGTACTACTTCCCACTTTCCTGTTTGCCTCTCAAAGGGGAGACAGCATGGTTCCATGGTTATGGCTCCAAACTGGGAGTTGGGACTAGAACACAGTCCACCCAGCTCTGCCACTGATCCCTATGTGGCTCTGGGCAAGTCACTTAACCTTTCTGTATCTAGTTCTCCCCCTCTGTAGTAATGCTTGCCCACGTTCATAAAGTACTTTGAGATCTGTGGATGAAAGAGCTGTGGAAGTGCTAGGTACTTAACTCTCAAACTCAGGTAATACAAAAATCCCCAAGAACCGCTGTTGTGAGGGCTTAAAAGGCCAGCCACCTTGGATCACAATTCAGTCTTAAAGCTTTGTAACTATGATTGCTACAAATGACCTCCAAGATTTCTAGACCTGAAAGACTTCAACCTTGTCTAAACAGTACTAGCCTACCTTGGTAGGAGGCAATGCAAGTGATAGAGATGTGCTGAAACTGTCCCCATCCCTCAGATTCCCCCCCCCACCCCCAAACTCTGTTCCTGTTGCTTTTCTGCCCATCCTGATTTGGAGGGGGTAGCTTAATTGTTCCACTGATCCAACAGATCTTGCAACACATGACAACTTCAGCAGATAGTTCTTTAAATCTAGCATGATCCAGACATAACAGGTCATTGTGTAAACAGCCCTGCTGTGGGTTTTAGGTATCTCTGGCCTCTAAAATTTGCATGTGGCTGGTAACTGGATGCTAAAAGGTTTTTCTACCTGCATTTCCACATCACGTGCCAGTTCCACTTTGCTATTTATCACTTATTCTAGGCGGTGTACTGAAATGGCTCTAGCTGTGTCCACATTCAGTATTTCTCCCTACCTCAGCAGAGTGGGACTTGCTCCAAAGACTCTCAGAACAAACCCTAACATCCCCTGTATATACTAGCATTCCTCTCTAGAGGGGCTATACAGCCCCATGTAGTACTATCCAGGAAGGGGTGGTAGAATAGGGAGGATCAGGCAGGACTTTTGTACTCAAAAGGTTCCATGTCCTTAATCTCATCCTGTGATGTGATTGTACCAGGTATTTGCAATGTTTCAAGAACATTAGCAGGTTCTGATAGCCTAGAAAGTGAATTAGAGGGCCAGCAACAGGGGTTCATACTTCTCAATAATCTGAAGTAGATATATGTAAAGCATTTCAAGTTTATGAAAGGATTAAAGGTCTCAAGGGAATGCAACCTCTATACCTTCTATAAACAGAGGATGGTCTCTTGAGCCATTCTCTATCATCCAGCTGTTTTATAGGCCTTTCTAGAGCTAATAAAAAACAGTTTCCATCAGTGCATGTTAAAATCCTGTAGACAGGCCTTTTGGGGGCTTGTTTGATCAAGTTGATATGCAGCTTTCTATCTGAATAAATGCAGGAGGAAATAGATGGGATTATTTGAGCAGGGCATTAAACTAATAGAACACTAGGCAAAATGTATGTGCCAAATCTGACAGTGAGTTATTACCTGGCTTCCTCTTTAGCCTATAACACTTCTGTAGGCTCTTAAAGCACTTCATGATGGTAGCTAATATTACCATTTATATAGGTAGCAAGAAGTGGGTAAAAATAAAAATGGAGGCAGAGCTGGGAATGGAATAGAGTAAGAAGTTGCTTACCTCTAGACTTGTATATTAAAAACTGGGGCTCATGTGTCCTCCAGGTGGGGATGGGGAGAGAATAGCTCAAGTGTACACACTTGCTGTGTGAAAGGCATCACCAGTACAAAAGTCTGAGAACCCTTGCTCTAGGCTGAGAGTTCTCCCCGGGCCCCTGCCCTGAAGGGTTTATTAGCTGCCCAGAATAATGTCTGGGCAAAGGAGCTGGGGTGGGATGCTGCACTGAAGCAGCATGTGGCATATGGCAAGTGAGTTCCCTGGTCATAAAATTAGACAAACTATTCTGTGTAGTAGAACCTCAGTAAGAAAGTTTCCATGTTTGGGAACGTTGGCTGGTAAACTCTGGAGATGAGACTCTCTCAACCTTCTCCCCCATGCTGAAAACTTAGTGCTTAACTCTGCAAGGCACTCAGTATTAGTGGGAGTTGAGGGAAGCCTGCATGTTGCAGAAGTGGGCCCTAAATTTGGAGCGCATTAATAATTCTGCATAAAGGAATGGGATATCTGTGGCACAAACTATCTAGTACTTCACATGTGAACTGTGAAACAGTTTGATTAGACTCTAGCCTCCAATTAATTTGGATTTTAATAACTTATTCCTAAAGGGAGGTAGGCTAGTCCTGAATGCAGGTCAGACCAGGTTCTGTTTTTAGCTCTTCCACCAGTCACTCAGCAATGGCAATGCTCTCTACCATGCTGACTGTACACAATGATACTTGCCCTCACCTGTAAGGTTCTTGGAGATCTATGGACAAAAAAAGCATTAGAATTGTAATGAGGAGGATTTTAATGGGCTCATTCCCTGAACATTCCTTTAGGGGAATGTCTAACCTGCTAGACGTGGCAGGTCTCACAAAACCTCTTCAAATGGCTTAGCTCCCTGGCTTCAGTGGAGCAGACCTAATGTCTTCTCCCTCTCCCCTGCTTCTGCAGTTCACAGAGGAGAAGCTGGGCCAGGCTGAGAAGACTGAACTAGATGCCCACTTTGAAAACCTTCTGGCCAAGGCAGACTGCACCAAAAACTGGACTGAGAAGATCTTGCATCAGACTGAGGTGTTGCTGCAGCCAAACCCTAGTAAGCACTGATTCTGTGGCAAGTTTACAAAGTGCTGGTGCTCTAACTGGCACAGCAGCAATGGAGTTAATAGAAATTCCCGACAGCTAGTTGATCTCTGCTGAATCAGATCTACCGGGGGAAATCTGAGAGTGGTGCTTGCAGAGACACAACCATCATCCCCAGGGATGGGCAGAAAGCTGGAGTATGTCAATATCTGGTTGGCATTCAGTAGCCTTAACCTGCCCAGTGGATTCTGAAGAGGGCAAGAAATGAGAACTGACCTCCCTCTTTCTCCCTGTACTCACACTTATGTCTCAAGCATGGTGGCCTCCTATACTGGCTATTGTCATGTGAGGGCTCTGTGGGTGGGAGCATCTCCCTCTCCGCTCTCCCTAGTTGCTTTTGTGACAGCCTGGGGCACTCTCATTCCAGGTGTCAGAGTGGAAGAATTCCTTTATGAGAAACTAGACCGGAAGGTGCCATCTCGTGTTACCAATGGGGAGCTGCTGGCCCAGTACATGGTGGAGGCAGCCAATGACTTTGGGCCAGGGACTCCATATGGTGAGTTACGTGGCATTGGCAAGTGGGCAACATCTTATGTGCTTGGTTCAGTCCTTACAAATCTACTGGAGTTCCTAAAATTATTCTCTCCTCCCCACCCAGCCCAAAGATATGAGACCTGATGCCTCCTGTTTTCCAATGCCAGTTAATGCTGGCAGGCTTCTGGGGAAAGCTTATGGTGTTACTGTGTACCATCTAATACACTCTTGTGTAAGCATGTCAACATTCTAGTTTGGTTCTTGCTGATAAACTTGGTGATAAACTCTCAAATGAAAGAATTTTGGATACTACTCAGATGGAACACATTATACAATGTGGATAAGCTGGGTTTGCTGTAGCACTTCAGATGGTGATTGTGCACAGCTGCTTTTATTTCTATATTGGGATGAAGCTCTTATCCACAGAAGCTCTTGCTTTGGCTTCAGTCTCTGTTCCCCCACCTAAACACAACTGGGTTCAAGTTGCTTCATCCGAGGTGCCACAGCAGTGGTATTGGGCAAGATCAGCTGCTAATGTTCTTGTGCCTTTATCGGCAATAAGAAAGGAGTGGCAGAATCCACAGGAAAAGCCAATGGTTCTAGAAATTCGCTTTTCAGAGTGAATACCTTGTAACTAAATGCATGTTCCAGCAGCTTTGCCATGCATATTACACAGGGCCAAGGTATTACACAAGGTATCTGAAGGGCTGTGATAATGCAAGTGAATCTGTTTGCTCCATTCACTTCCCTAATAGTGGTCATGTGACCCAAAGGGTTGCTTTCCCTATCCATAGTATTAAGAACTTGATCTCCAATCTATCTGACTCTATTGGGCCATTACCAGACTTCTGAATTGAAGAGAGGACCAGTAACTGGTTCAAGCCATGTCTAATTCTCCTTGGCTCCACTGAACAAACTATTTTTTTTCCTTCAGCCTTTGCTCTTTTCCTCCTTCTCCGTATCGTTATCTGGTCAACATTTGCTTTCTTGTTGCTCAGGGGCTAGGGAGCCAATTAACAGATGGGAAAATAGACAAATTGGCACAAGTTCCCCTCCATAAGGTTTAATGCTGGGAGCAAAGTCTCTAAGTAAATCTACTCTCCTCTCTGGAGCCAGAGATCTCCATATGCTGGAAATGAGCTGCAGCTCCCTGGAGCAGCAGCATATTACAGGTGGTGTCTAAAGACCATCTTTAAGATGGCATTTAAAGTTGCAGTGAGTCCTACTTGCAATCTATTCTGATGGCTCAAATTTTATTATTGGCTCTCTCCCTCCAACCTACGCCCCCACCCCTTCACTTTCTAACTTGTGCTTTGAGTAATGTGTGTCTCCTCCTTAGTGCTGGGTTTAGACACTCTCCCTACCCCCCCCCCATACTTTTAGTTAAAAGGAGGCAAGCAGGCCACTGTGGGGCACTGGCTTCCACATAGCTGGAATAGCTGAACTGAGTATCATGGATCTTATATTGCTAATGGAATCTCCTTTAGCCTAAGTGGTAAGGGCCTCTCCTTTTGCAGTAGGAAGATCTAATTTCTAGCTCTGCCTCAAACTTTTCAGAGAGGAGAGTGGCTGGGAACCAGTGAGTTCCCCATATTACTTTCTTCTCAGCTGAATGGTTACCTGATAGGGTGGAGAGGGAGTGTGGAGACTTACCAGGGTAGCTACTGGAGTTGGCATGTCCTGGCAGGATGCAGTAAATGCAGGGCAGTAGCTGCAGATAGTACTACTGTGTTTGAACAGTGAGTAGTTGGAAGGTGAAATGTCTAAGAATATGACAAAATGGCTGCAGATAGTAGTACTTTACTTCTGGCAGAGGCTTTACAGAATATTCATTTTCACTTTTACAATTGAAAATCTCTTCACAACCATGAGGGCTAGAAAGCTTGAAACTATAAACCTTAAAGGCTCAAACCCTAAAGGGAACCATGCACAGTTCTTTTAAAAAGCTTTTTTTTTCTTTTGTGGGAGGTGGGGATACTGACTCAAACTCTGCATTTTGGCATTTGCTATCCTGTAGCCTTAGCTAGAAGTTCTGACAGGTTAATGTCAAAACACACAACACCTTTCTGCCTCTCAAAGCCAACAGAGAACCCTAAGCCTACTAGAGGGACCCCAACTGCTTCTTAGGTGGATAGACTCTGAAATCAAACATTGACTTTCCCTTCTAACTTTCAGCTGTGACAGCTCAGTGAGCTCTGGGTTTTATTGCCTTCTAAATCAATAGCTTGCTCCATAGCACATCCTGTTGCAGCCAGAGCCATTGTAATTGTACCCACAGTCAGCCAGCATTGCCCTGATCAGACCCCATCAGCTTGTTTATCTGCTCTGGTGCCTCTTAATTAGATGATGCTCTGTTTTTGTGCATCCATGAAATACACCCAGGGCTATAATAATCTGTCCCATAATACCCTTACTAAAGATTGTGGGCTGCCTCACATGCTCCTGGGCAGGCCTGATACTAAAGACTGCAGTGGAGTAAGTGCATCAGCAGGCAGATATCAAAGCTGCAGCAAGAGCCAATGGTAGAGAGAGGCTTCAAACAAAGGGTGGACTGTGTTAGCATAGCACTGACTGAACATTCTGCCCCCTCCTTGGCTAGGCTAGGATTGGCTTGCTGTCAGCAAGCAGTGAGCCATAACCACCTGGTCTAGGTGCCAGCTAGCACAGCTGATCCACAGTGTACACACCTGAACAATGTACTGTGTGAGAGCATCCTAACCTAAACATGCTGGGCAACTGGGATAAGGCTAAGGCATAGTGTTAACCCAATACCTGCTGAAGCTAATGCCTCTCCCATCTGGGCTCTGGCAACTTGCAGGGAAGACCCTACTCAAAGTTGGAGAGACCCAAAAGCGCCTGGGGGGAGCCGAACGTGATTTTATGCACTCTGCCTCCATCAACTTCCTGAATCCTCTGCGCAACTTCCTGGAAGGGGACTGGCGAACTATCTCTGTGAGTAGGAGAGGAAGGGGGAGCTGACTAATGGGGTGGGAACTACCAGTGTCCACCCACCTGTGACTCTACATTCATTCTTCCCTTTCAGGAAACGGGGGAGAGGGGTGAAAACCAGGCCAGAGGACTCCCCCCACCCCCTCCAACCCTCTAACAACCCTGTCAGGGCAGGGGAATAAGAGCTACAAACTCTGGAGTTCTAATCCCAGTTCTCCCACTAGCTTCCCTCATTTGTGTGTGGGGAGGGAGGAATGGGGCTACTTGTCTCCCTTGTGGGGATGATAGGACAATAAATTAACCCTTTATAGCCAGGCTGGCCAGATCAGAAGCTGCTTCTCACTCTTGAAGGTTGGTCCTTTATCCTTATCCAGAGCTCCTACCAATGGTGCCAGTGCATCTGCTGTTACCCCCTCTTGCTGCCAAACAAATCAGCTTGATTTCTAGGTGGCTTCTCACTCTCATAGGCAGGAAAGATAATTTCTAAGCACCTTGTTCCTTATTTGTCCTTCTGCTCCTTTCCTAGAAAGAGAGGAGGATCCTGGAGAACCGCCGTCTGGATCTGGATGCCTGCAAGGCCAGATTGAAGAAAGCCAAGGCTGCTGAGGCAAAAGCATCGGTAACTTCTCCCATAAGTCCTTTCCTCCTTTCTGCACACAGGGCTTGGCTCTCATGTGAGGAGGAGTGCCAAGTGCTCTCATGGCCCAGAGTTGGTCTATACTGCCTGCTTTGTCATCAGTACTGCATCTGGTAGGGGTATGGGTGACTTTCCCACAAATGGGGGAAGAGAATAACTCGGCATGGTGAGAGGCGCTGGCTGTATAGCACCTGTTGTCTGCAGGGGACATAGTGGTTCATGGGCACAGCCTTGCTGGGGAGCTTTGGAAATGGTGAGTGTCTAATCTGGTCCTTGAGAAACCCTGCTGTCTGATTAGCTGACACAGGTTTCCAGCTGTTCTGAGGGATTGCCACTAAGCAACCCAGTCTGATCTTGGTGAAGCTTGTGCCAGTAACCAGAGACACTGTCCTGTCAGAAGGCTTGTAAAATTCCAGTCAGAAAATAGGGACTCCAAGCTGAATCTGGGGCTTCTTCCCTAGAAAATCAACTGAAAGCACTGGGGAGGTGGGGGTTAACTGTAAATTTCACTGGGAGCCTGCAGGAGTCCTGGAATCTCAAACGAGGGCTCAAAACTAAGCAGTGTTCCACCTGCAAGTTCTAGCCTGCCCTGGGCTCCACCAATAAGGAGCATGTGAAGCACACAGTCAGGAAAGTGGCTGTACTTGAGCCTCTTGATAGCTGCTCCCTTGGCTTCTGAAGTCATGTCTGCTTCGCTTGCTGATGAGACTGCGCCCAGTCTCTCTTGGCACTGCTAGTCTAGCTGCAAAAAAAACCCGCAGGCTGGTTGCTCCACTCTGGCTTGGGAATTAGCTGGTAAATTTTCTTAGTTCAAGAATCTCTAGTTACAGAAACAGAAAGGCAGGGCTTGACAAATACCACTCAAACTCCAGGTCCAGTTACTGGAGTGCAGGGAGCCTTGTTCTGACTCCTGAACTCAGACAGAACTATGGAAGCAATTGGAGAGAATTTCCAACAAATGTTCTTCTGACCAGATGCCTGTGCCTGCACCTGGGTCACACAATGGCTAAAACACCAGGGTGCTGGCTACACCAATGCTCTTTGCTAGAACAGGCCAAGCAGTAGCCCCATGTTGGGGAAATAGAAAGGAAAAGCTAGTGCAGATGCAGCTGTAGGTGGCCCCTCAGAATATTCTGATCAACAGATCTGTGGTAGAGCCAAAGTTAAAAGTGGACACATGGATATGCCCCACACAACTTCAAGCCTTCAGTCTTGCAGTGAGGCTTCAAGCTCTACCCAGTGAACTAATGGCCACAGTCAGAACAAGCTAAAATCCTTGTCACCCAGTCTGGCTCTTTCCTGCTACAAAATACCAGAATGGGTGTCCTGGCCTGACCCATCATGCCAGCCATCAATGCAGCTAGGTTTGATTTGGCTTCTCCACATGTCCCAGATGACTTGTGTCCCAGGGACTTTTCCTTCCCTCTTTCCAGCATTGGTTCCTGTTGTGTGGCCTCATCTAACTGAGGAGCATGGGTAGCTATGGTAATATCAAAGGCCTTCAGTCAACAGGTCTGTCCCAGTTCTAACATCTGAGAATGCATGTGCTCTGTAGCCTGCTGGGTAAGGTGGTTTTGCACACACCCTTTAGTCCTGAGGCTATCAATACCCTAAGAGAAGTCAGCTCCCCTTGCTCTGCAGATTGTTTGGCCACTGAGCCTGTGGTTCCACCCAACATGGAATAACTGAGATTGCATGAAAACTTGCTCTCCGTCTCCCCGCTTCCACTTAAGGTGACTCTTGTTCTCCCAGATATACAATTTTCAGAAACACTAATTTCCCCATGTGTAGACATGCAGGGGGTGGGGTGAGGAACATGATCTTGGTTTCAAAGAGGTAAATGGTGAATACTGGTATGGGTCCAAATTCAGATAGGAGTGTGGTGGAAAGTCTGTACCACTTCCCCATCCTTCTACTCACACACCCCATCCAGTTCATCATGCCCCAGGCTATTCTGGAAATGGTACTTGATTAATAGTCAGCAAATGCTAACCCCTTCTCTTTTCCTGTCTTGTTCTCTTGGAGCAGAATTAGACTTTTCCTCTTCTCTTCAGTTGTACAGGCAGCACAAGTTCTGGACAATGACTCAGTAGCTCAGTGCCCTAAAAGACTTTGGCTTAGGCTTTGTCCAGGGCTCTGCTGGTGTGTAGCAGTAAGCCAGGCTCTGGTAGGGTGACTTTTGGTCAGGCATCTGGCCCTTAAGTGCTGCAGCTACAACAAACCATGTTACAGGAGATCACAAACCTTGTTGCTGGGATATTGAGCTTGAGTCCCAAGTACCCTCAACCCTAGAAATGCAGATGCTCATGCATAACCCTGCTTCCTGGAAATGTAACTAGTCATCTAATGTAGATGTAATGTAATGAGCAATCCTGACCCAGGTGGCCACCTTGGATACCAGCATAGTTAAGAATCCTCTTATCCAGCCCAGTTTATGGAGACTGATTACCTGGACTCGGTAGAGCTATGGGGAGGGTTCTGTGCTTTCTTATTGTGGCTGTCACTATTGTGTGCAAGGCCCTTGTAGCAGATGGACAAAGTGCCAACATGGGATATGTTGGCTCTGGATTCTAGTCTGGTTTTAAATGTACATGAACTAGCAATTGGTTCTAGTGTAATCATGTTGGTTAACATGTTTAAAACCTGACCTGAAATCCACTGTCAGAAACAACCCCCTCCATTAGTGTCCTACCTTTCCTGGGTAACTCCTGTCCCTCCCAACTTCATGCTAATGTCCCCCTCCAGATAGTGCAGATCTTGTGCATGTCAACTTTGTTCCCCTTGGCTTTTGTTTTCTCTTGGTGCTGAACCTCTGAAGCTGGTATCCCCAAATCAGTGAGTTGCTGTTCTGTCTCGTGGGTTAGCTTGTGTCCCCTCTAACCTTTGTGGGGTTCTTGCTTTGTCTTTGATGTTGATGGTGTTTTTGTTCACTAACCTTTGTTTTGTTTTTCTGTAATTTTGCTCAGTGTGAGGGAGATGTGAGTATTAACTGTGTTAATAGTGCTGTGACTTCTTTCCTTAATGCCTCTCATTGTCCCTCTCCCATTTAAAAACCACTCCACTCCTGTGTCCGGCAGCAGTCTGGGCTTGTGGCTGCCTGACAAAAGGGTGCCCAAAAAACAATGGAAACCTCCTGGTTCTCTACAGCCCCTCCAGGAGTGTGCAGTCAGTTTCCATTAAAGCCTCTTGCAAGCAGTGTTCAAAGGAGGCTGGGTCCCATGTACAAACATGACTGTGGCTCTTACCTCTGGCTCCACATTGGGTGTGGGGTTGGAGAAGAAGTCTCCCTCCTTGGGGAAAGAAGGATGTGAAAGTTAGACAATGATGGGTGGTGCCTGAACTTGGTCTGCAGTGCTGTACTGTCCCTTCTTAAGCTTCAGGGCTCTACCCTCTTTTTCCCCACCACAACATTGGGATGGGGGGAGGAGAGGTGTATTCATCCAGTCTTCATGTTCCCTTTTGATCACTGCTTGCAAATGAACCCTGCCAGTGTGCACAGGTATGATAGCTGCTTGACTCCTCCATACCATGTGCTACAAGACCAGTTCTGGGAGTCCAAGGAAGCTATCCTGGAGCCAAAGGGATGGCCATGGAGGGTGGGGGGACATCTTTTCAACTTAGCTTCTTTACCCAGAAAACTGAGGCATAAGAATCTTGGTCTTCTGGAGAGAGCACCTCTTAACTTCCACATCTGGCCAGTGGGAGTGTGGATTTGGTCAGCTGTGCCCTACTCAGGAACACCTCATCAGCAAATGCATTTCTTTTTGGTTTTTTAATTGTTCCCTCCCTCCCATTTCAGCTTAGGTTATTCTCTTCTCACCCCCATAAAACCCATGAGGTAAAATCCCTTATTGATGAGAGGCTGGCTGCATCCTCTTGTGTATGGAATTGGGCCCTCACATCTCATGGAGTTGTGAATCTGCTCAGTGGTGCTGCTAATTGGAGCAAATTGGGCCAATTCATGTGAGTCAAGCTGGGTGTGCAGTAAAAAGATTAGTATGGGTGGCATGTACTCGGCCCAGAAAATTATAGAGATCTAGCTGGGGTTAGAAATGCTGGATCATATGACTGTCGCACACCGGCTTGCTGCATGATCAAAACTTGCTGGGCCATATTCTGATCGGTTATGCTTGTGCAAATCAGAAATTGAGGAGCTCACACTAGAGTAACTGGCATCACTCAATCCATTAGAGCCAGCTGCTCTTGTTATGGCCTTCAGTTTAATATAGTCTTAGATAAATTGTGCCTTCCCCCCCCCAATCTAAACTACAGCTGCTCTATGATGAAGTGGCTAATGAGAACATGGTAACTAGGGCATGAAATGGTCATCTCATGGGAATGTGGAACATGGCCAAAAGGGAAGAATCTGCCGTTTAACCTTCCTGTCCTACTGCCTCAGTAGCAGGGGTCCAGCTATGGCCAAAGATGGCTTGGTTAGTCTCCCCACCCACTTCCATAAAGTACAGGTAGAGTCTGCAAATGCTATTGAATAGAGTCCTCCGCCAACAAGGCGATGGACCAGATATGCTCCTGTGCACAATGAAGGTGGGATTCTTAAGAGGTTTTGATGTGGTGGTGGTGGTGGAGTGATTTGTATCTCCTTCCTTTCCACTAAAAGCATGGGTCTCAAGGTGCTAATACCAGAGATGTGAGCACAATGAAGAGGTTTGGTGCCTCTGGCAGAAATAGACCCTGGAGGGGATGGAGCTGGTAGATGAGGCAGTGTCTCCACATGGTGCATGCTAACAGTATCATGGGTAGAGTAAGTGCACTTCCTCATGAACATAATGCAGGACACTAGAGCAGACTCTGCCCAGTTATAAGTTTCCTCATACCCCATTCTGTGACTGAACTAGCTGCATATTCATCCTTTGTAACATGTGAGATCCATAGGTTGTAGGTGAGAAGGAACCTTGGAGTCAGTACAAGAGAAGCTAAGGCCCTGTATACACTGGGCTTGGAATTGTTTTGAGTCTTCACTCTGGGTCTAGCTAAGACTGTTTAAAATCCTCCCACATTAGTCAGCCAGACGAGGAACAAATGGCCTTCATGTCTAGGGCTAGGCTCAAAGCACTCAGACTCTGGTTTAACTTGTTGGTGTAAATGGATCTGTAACTGCTCACTTAGTTGACAGATGATTCTGGTGTATGCAAGGCCCTCCATTCAGCTGGAAGTTTTTCATGATCTCTTCCTTGCAGCAAACACACAGTTGTCAGGCTACCTCACACCCCACTACCTTCTAGGAGACCTCAAATGTGTCTGCCACTATTTTAGGAGCTAATGTCCGGGGCACTGCCAGCCCTTTTTCCCATTCATTGGGAGGACTGATTTCCATGGACTCTTCTGTGTGACTTGTATATGAAACTCTATTCCCCCCTTCCCTAGGCTGTACCTGACTTTCAGGAGACTAGACCTCGTAATTACATTCTCTCCGCCAGCGCATCAGCGGTAAGATCACCTCCTCTTCTAGACATCTACGCTCTTACCTTGGTTTCTTCCAACCCGATTTCAACTCTGACCCAGCATTATGCTGTTTTCAACATTTTAATGTGAAATGGGCTGCCCAGGATTCCTTCCTTCCTTCATACCTGACTGTTGCCCTTAGTGGTGGGAGCAGAGATGTGCTGCAGATAAACCTTGATGGCAAAGGCAGAAAGTTGTGGGTGGAGATAGTCAGTGACTGGCAGCCAAGTATTTACTGGCCTTCTTTGTTCTTTCCCAACCCAAACTGGGAATCCTTTACCAGTGTTTTGGTTGCACTTGCAGGAACTGGAGAGGGAGGAATATAGTCCTTTGTGAGCTGGCTTCCCCCATCCCCCACATGGATGGAATAGTCTATTGGGTGCTAATGCAGGGTTGCTGCCCTGGTGGAGTATAGTGTGTATGGCTCCCTGACCAGATCAGGACTGCCACCAGCATACTGAAGTTCAGGAGGCTTCTAGTTAAATTGATCAAGCAAGGGGTAATCCTACAATCCCACTCCTAATGCTTGTTTACTGCCTGTGGTACAAGAGATGGCAGGCCAACAGTACAAGGCCTTTAACTTTGTTAGAAGTGGAAGACAAATGGCCTCAAAACTTTCCCACTGCTTTGGTTCCCCCACATCAGGAGTCCCTGGCTGGTGGGAGATCTTGGTGGCTAGATGACAACATAGAGTTGTGCTGGGAGTGGATGAGTTGCCCACTGCCTCTCTAGCATGTTGCATCAAGTGTGGCTGAACCATCAGTGTCCAGCGCTTTGCTCAAGGCTCCCCATTGCACGATATCCAATCTTTTGTTAAAATGTTGAAAACTTGGTGACTGTCTTGCTTTCTGAACCACTTGTGAAACCACACTGATGCCCCATCAGCCTTAGAGTGACCTAGGACTGGGAGGCTGGAAGACAGGTTGCATAGGCACCAAATGGGGAAGCCCAATGCATAAGCAAACCACAGCCCCATGGGAGTGATTTAGCTGCTGTTAATTCAGCATATTTAATATGCAATACCCAAACTGGGGAGAAGTGCCTGGGCTGAAACATCAGTGTTGGTATCACAGGGAATCTGCCCTGACCTTTTTAGATCATGATGCTGGTACAACATTGTTTCCAATAGGCCAATTCAGTAACTATATCTTGTTAAGAATCTCTTATGGAAGAGACTGAGTGAGCAATTGCTGCAGATTTCTCCTTTCTCCTCTAGAGTGGCACTTCTAATCAATTCACAGCTCTGGCTCCCTTGGTGAAGGGTGAGACTTTTAATCACAATGGAGGTATTGTGATTACCAATTTGGGTACTGGAGAGCAGAGGGCAAAACAGGACTAGCTCCTTACTAGCATTTTGGCATCTCTGATCAGACCAAAATATTGGAGCATGCCCTGTGCTTCTGCAGACCATAGACTTGAGAAGCCAAGGCTCTTGGAAGACACAACCTATCCATGTCTTATAGATTTCCATGACTTGCAGCCAGAGATTAGACTCTAACTTCAGATTTGGCTTGCAATACCTAATGCCTAATCATGGCATTTGGCCCATAGAATTCTTCCCCACCTCAAAGCTCAGGTCAAACTCCTCTCTGATGTAACTCCATTGACTTATCCACAACATGCTCAGCACTGCACAGAACTAGCTCTGCAATGAGCAGGTCAATCCCTTTAAAAGACCAATTCTGAGACTAGTGTGCCTTGGGAATTGAAGTAATAGAAGGCTTGGTTGTAAACTCTGTACTATGTCAAATCCAAACTCCTCCTACAGGATTTTTCTTTAGGATTTGCCTATTAATAGTGGAATTGTACATGGGCCTTGCCCATAACCGCTCCTAACCCAGTGAGTTGGTTGGCAAGTGTCTCTATTCCATGAAGTGCTTGTAGCGGTGATAGGGCTCTGACTGCTTGTTCTGTGCATTCACAAGTGCTTGTGACATTTTATTCTGCAACTAGAAGGTGGATGGAGAGGAAGTACCACCTTGGCCCCTGCCTGCACTGAGCAGGGATACTGGTGGTACCTCTAGGAAGGCTTAATCCACCCTGGCTAGCTGGAGAGATGCTAATTGAGCTTCCCTGCCCAGTGCAGACAAGGCCACCTTAGTAGCTGTGGAGGTTTCTCTAGCCAGCTTGGAATACCAGCATCCATCCCAAAGGGCCTGGCATCCCAGTGGGGAAGGAACTCTTCGTGCTGTCACTCTGCTTCTTTTCTAGGCTGAATTGCCATGTACCTCTGCTGTTTGTGACCTGATGTTAACCCTTTCACTCCTGCAGTTGTAGCAGCTAATCTTGCTTTTGTGTCTCCCTCCTCCTCTCTGGAGGGAGGGATTGTTGCTGTCTCCAGAAGGTAACAGGCTTGTTTTTGTGCATGAGCAAATGAGTCAGCGTGTTCCCAGCTTCTCATGATTCTAAACTGCAGACATTCTGGGCAAGCCAGATGCAACTTGGACAGAGCTGGACTCAGACTTCAGAAGTCTATGGCTTTATTTGTGGGAGAGAAGAGGCATACAATGGTCCTGGATGACCTCATCCCATCTGATCCTCCAGAGGGATGTGCCTAGGGAAAATTCTTAACTCGTAGGCTGCCCTACCCTAGTCTCTCAGCTGTGTCCTGAGCTGAAGTGTAGGAGCTAAGGAGCAGCCCTTCTCCCTTGCTCTCAGACTGCAGAATAATCTGCACTCCAATGGATCAGGTCTCCCTTCTTGGAGGATGCTGGTTTGGCCACTCCTACCATGCTCTGTACTCCTAGGACAGGCTCTAAGGAAAACCTATTGCATAGCCCTAAGGAGCATTCCTTGGGCTCCAGCTAGGCTTCTGAGAATGTCAGTTGGCGTTTTCTGCTGAAACAGCTGAGCTGTCTCCCTTCATGTGGGAGGGGGTAGAGAGGTAAGGTAGCACTGCATTCTGCCTCTCCTGGTCTCTTATAAGCCCTGTGCCACTCATTGCCCATGATGGCACTGGAGGGATCTGGTGCCTTGCTGAGGCATTTTGAAATGCATGACTGCCTACAGCTACACACCTGCTTGGAACTCTCTTATGCTCCAGAGAAGTGCAGGGTCCTAATTGGATAACTTCACAAGCTCAGCCAGTTGGGCTCCTCAAAACCTTGAGCAAATGGCACAGATTCTATCTGGTGAAGGGCAGTGGTACACTTTGGTAGTATATGGGTGGGGTGGAGAGGTCAGACCTTCCCTACTAAGAGCAGCATGAATCTGAGCGTCTGTCACTAACTCTGCTGAGGAAGTAGCTGTTTCTGGCTGGACAGATCTCGGAGGAGAATGAGAATATTAACCCGTGAATTCCTGCTTAGAATAACCCTTCCCATTAGGTAGGGGATCTCCACCTAAACCCTGTAGAAGGGAGGGCTGGTGCTTGTGGAAACCTCATGAGGCAGAAGATGTGTGCTCCACAAGGCTAAACAAATGTATGTGTACTAGAGTGGGATTTCCATCTACTGCCTCTTGACAGAAGCCTTTTAAAGAGTGTTTGCTAGTCTTCCCTGTGTTGCTTTAACAGCCTGCATGAGGTCCACACATGGACTCTTGCCCTGCCCACCCACTGTCTTCTATGGCTGCTGGGGTTGGGATGAGAAAATTGGGCTTGATTTTTTTCTCCCAAGTGTGGGGTTGGGGGAAGCTCTCCAGGGTTGGTTTAGGCAGCGCAAAGCTGGATTAAAGATGAACACTGGTGACTAGTGCACTAAATACATAGGGTTAGGAGGGAGAGCACATACTTAAAGCAATGGACAAACCTGTGTGCTGAGACTGGAATGCTAGAACAGGGCACTAGAGCCCCATGGAGCTGTCAAATTTCTGGAGTCTCTCTATCACTGGCCACAAACAGCTCTGGCTTTCAATGCAGGGTATTATTGTGAGATGGCTAGTATGTGTGTACCACTACCTTCTACTGGATAGATTCAAAACTGTTATCTTTGTATCATAGGCCCTCTACTGCTGGAAATGCCAATCTAGCCCAAGCCTTTCTGCAAAAGGGCCTTCACTTCTGCATCAGGAGGATTTGGGACTTTTTGACCAGGAAATGCTAAGTGGTGACAGCATACAGTGTAGCTACAAAAGTAACTTACAAATTCCTCTACATCAAGATAATGCTATGGGTGGCCAAGCTTAAGCAAGTGCAAGGAGGAGTGTATTACATCCATAAGGCCAGCTGCTGCCAATTTCTCCTCTCATTAGGTCCCCTGAACTCAGTCCATGAGTAACCCCAAAATTCCCCTCCTGGGGTCCTGTTTTTTGGAGTCCTTACACACTGGTCTTCCATGCCCCAGCCCCAGTTCAGTCACTCTCCTAGGTAGGGAGTACTCAGAGCTAGGTCCCAGTTCAGTATTTCAGGCTTTACCACGCCAGAGCTCAGACTTCTGGCTTCCAGGCCACTAGACCCTTCTCCCAGCTTGCTGCAGTTCTTGTCTCAGCTTCCTTGGTATCACCCCCCCCCCCCCATTAGTCAATAGTAATTATGTGTGTGGCTGTGCTGGAGTGGGAAACCCCTCATCATGGGGAAAGACAAGGCCAAGGACCCTCTGGGGTAGATCAGTGTTTTTCTGCCTGGTCTCTTCCCTCTCCTTTTGCTGTGTGTTTTTGTGTTTTTGTTGACTGTTATGTTTCATACCTCCAAGCCAGATCCCAGAGAGCAGCTGACTGTGCTACCCTACCCCAGGAGTTAGTGGGGAGGATGGGAGATGAGACTCACCCACTCCTGGCAGGAGTCTTCCTCTGACAGAGGCAAAGCTGCAAGCTCCAGCAGGCCTGGGAAGGGGAGCTGGGGTTCAATGTTGCCTTCCTCCTATGAAGGACAAGCTTGGCTATAAACACCCATATCTGCCCCCTGCCCCATGGAATACTTTGAACTAGCCAGAACCTTGGACCAGCCTGGATTCCATGTAGCTTTTTCTGTTCTCCCAAGCTATGGATCAATGAGGTGAGGGACTCCTTTAAACTGTCACAACCACTCACTTGGCTGCACATGCCCCCCTCAGGCCATGGTGAATTGTCTGCACTAGCCCTGTCTCACTGCAGACCTTGCTCAGTTTTACACCATGCCCCACCACTCCCACCAGCATTCTGGAAGAAGCTCTCCTTCAACTCCTGCCCCACCTTAGCTTCAGGGGTGCAGATCATTGCATTGTTGAGCTATTCTGACCTTGCTGTTCAGAGATTTTCACTCTATCCATCCCTCCACCTCTGCCCATCCCAGCTCTTGCATTCTGTTCTGTCCAGAGCTTATTTCATACTTGTGTTGTAGAAGCCCACTCCCTGTCTAGGAGCCCCATTGTGCTAGGTGCTGTACATGACCACTACAAGGATTCCTCTCACAGAGGGTCAGATTGAGACTTGGCTACATGAGGAGTCATTCTGGAATAGCTAGTCTTGTTAAATTGTTCTGGTTTAATTTAGTCTGAGATTCTCTGCAATAAGAGCATCCACACAAGAAATTAATCCAGAATAAAGTGGGGTATCAATTCAACACATTGAGTCCTGACTATCTTCCATGTGTAGACATCTCCTGAGTTTGAGGATATGGGTCGGGGGAGGTAGGAAGGAGTGCAAAATGGGCTCCTTGAGGAAGGTGTCCTGTCTGGGGCAGAAGGCTGCCTGCTGCTGCTGGGTGAAGGGCTGGCTTGTTCCTGGAGGTAGCCTGCTGCATCTGTGAAGTATCCCCACCAATTGCTGTTGTTGCCAAGTGCTTCTTGAAGTCTCCAACACTGATCTCCTTTCCTGTTGCTCTGTGGCCCCACCAGCTCTGGAGCGACGAGGTGGAAAAAGTAAGTACACAGGCAAAAAAGGTGCTGGAAATGTTAGAGTGGGGAGGGAGGCAGAACACACATACTGCAGATTTCTTCCTCCAAATGTGGAGGGGGGTGCTTGATCAAGGGTGTCTCACTGCTCTCTGCGGGCTGAAAGCAGAGATGTTAGCTCTGTCCCCTGGGTGCCTCCCACTGGGGTTAAGTGGTGAGGTGGTGAAGGAAACTATAACAGCTAACTCTACTGCTAGTAGGACTGGAGAGGAAGCAATTTGACCACATCTGCAAATCTCCAGGACCTGCCCATTTGTCTTTGGAAAAGTTAGGCTCCCTGTGTATAATAATACAAGGCAGTCTTGGGTGCTCCCTGGGCTGCCATGCTAGCAGCTGAGCCACTGCACTATAATTTCAGCTCTTTTCCTGCAGCACAAACTCCTCCCACCTCAATATACATGCACCATTAAGAGCCATCTCTTCTATTTGTTCTGGAGGAATTGAGTCTGATGAGGAGCTTTGAGTCTAGACTGAAGTAACCAAGAGGAAGGAATTCCCACAAACACCCTAGACGGCCCTTATGGAAAGTTTTTGGTCTGGCATAGAAAAGTGAGGGGAAATACTCTGGCTCAGAGTAAAGATGGTCCTGCATAGGAGACACGTACACACACCCCCAAGCCAGGATAATAAACCAGAGCTGCTCCTTTTGCATATTCAGCAGCAGAAATGCACACTCTAAAAAGGCAGAGATGCAGCAGGTATGTGACCGCACATACTTGGGTATCGACCTTCTTGTATAGGGCCTCAGAATGGTAGGGTGCTGATTAGAGATGAGCATGGTCACAGACCTTCTGATGTTTTAGGCAGGTATCTAAAGTGGTGATACGTCATCTCTTGACATCGAGTGCTCTTGTGTATCTCTGCATCTTTAACCTAATACCTAGTGAAGGTGTCCAGATCCCCAAATGGCCAGGGAGCCTGGCATGCTATGATTGCATTCTCTAGAGAGCAGACGGAACAAGCTGGTTAGGGCTGAAATGCATTGGTAGAATTGTGCAGGAGGAGTGTTGTTAATTCCTTGGTGCCAGGTGTGGCGCAAATCAGGGCCACTGGCCTCTTCCATTAGACACATGTAACTGGTCATGTTTAGCACCAAAATATGAACTAGCTACTAGCCCCCCTAACTTTCCCTATATGATAAACTCTTAATGTTCCTCAGATCTCTAGGCAAACATGCTGGTGTGGGAGCCAGTTCAGGATGTCCCCAAGACATCCCCAGATCTTGGATGGGGAAAAGACCCCCCCCAAGCCCCACTTGCTGGCAGCAATTGCTGGGTGTGAGAGCAAACCCTGTGGCTTGTGTGGCATGATGCTTCACCTCTGCCTGCCAATGAAATCCCTGGCTCTGCCCAATGGGAATGGAGCCAGGGTTGCCTGGCAGAATGCTCAGCTGTCTATAGCCAACTGTTTCCCAAAGGTCTCACTGCAGGTGCACAATACACCACTGCTGGTGCTCCCCGAAATCTAATTTATTTTCCCCTAAATCTCCTTTCACAGAGGATGCGAGAAACTGTTCAGTTGAGTTGGCTTAAACTAGAGACCAGTCTTTAAAGATTGTTGGAATACTCTAACCCACATTGTGCTAGTGGTTCTCAGACTTTTGTACAGGTGCCCCCTTTCACACAGCAAGCCTGTGTGTGTGGACCCCCCCTTATAAATTAAACTCTTTTACATATTTAACACCATTGTTTGGGGTGGAGGCTGACAGCTCACAAACCCCCTATGTAATAACCTTGACCCCCAGTTTGAGAACCCCTGTGCTAGAGAGTAACATTGGATCCACAGCAGTGGGCCACAGCAATCTTTCTGCTTTAAAACCAAGCTTGATTTGCATGTATAAACACTGGACTTTTGGAGGTGGTGACCTATCCTAAGAAATACTACTGAGCTCCAGCCTCAAGCTATTAAAAACCTACTAAGGGCTTGACTAAGAGAAACTGACCAGCATAACTATCCTGCAATATCCTGTGTGGACACTTACTCCCGGGTGGGGTTGGGGAGTGGGTCTGTTCCAAAATAGTGTAAGCATAGAGCTATTCTGGTCAATTTCCCTATGTCCTCAAGCCCTAGGAGGAAACTGGCCATGGCCCAGGTAGCACTGTTGAGGTTCACACAAGACTCTTCCTGGGTGAGAATACACATGTTCTTTGCTAGCGTGCTCCACTTCTCTCCTATCAGGGTATGTCCTCCCCTCACCCCAGCCCCAAAACAAACCCTCTGCCTGCTCTAATTGCACTGAATGCTATTTTCACAATATCTGTTTGGGCATGGTTCCTGCATTGCAAACCACCCATTAATTTGTAAGTGCGCTGTCTGCAAGGCCAATTATGGCTCTGATTTTGCATATTAATCACTCTGCCTGGCAGGGCTTTGGCCTTTACATTTAAAGCCCTCTTCTAATTGTACAGTCTCTCCTCCCACATGGGCAGCAGTGCTGGTGAGTGGGGTGTTTCCTCCCAGTGCCTCTTCTGCAGGGTTGTCTTGTAGCTGACATTCTTGGGCCTGATCTTGTGCTAACATGATCTCAGAGCAGCTCCCTGGAAGCCTCTGGAGTCTGAATAGTGTTAAATTCTTAGTTACCCATTCAACACTTCCCCAGCAGTTCTTGGGCAATTTTAGGGTAAGACACTCCTCCCAGCTGGGCTGTGGAAACCTCTCCATCCCTGTGGTTCTCTAGGCTTAGGTTGGGGGCAGAAGGAGCAGACCTTTGAGAGATTCTCTCAGCGGCCATATCCCCTGCCAACTCCCATGGGAATGCTGAACTGCCAGGTGCCCTTCCACATAGCCACCCTCTCCATGAAGAGGCACTGGCTGTCCAATTCCAAGTGGAGCCCTTCTACCATAGACAATGGGGTGAGGGGGTTAGTGGAGGACTGGCCCTCTGGATGCTTCAAGATCCATAAGGCCTGCCTATGCTCTGACTTCAGTGGGGTGGGAGGGTTACATCACCTGCTCTCCTTCTCATCATGGATTAGTCTCCATGGCCTCCAGGTTGCCGCTGTCCTGGGGAAGGCCTGATCTTGGAGGTGATGGGCTATAAACATACATTGCAGGCTCTGCTGGAGGCTTGGGACCTAGCTTTCAAGAGTGGCCATTGATTCTTGGAAGCCCAGTCCCACCACTGCCATAAGCCAGGTGTTTAGAGTTCTGAGCAAACACGGCTCCCAGGGAGTCCAGGGGTGCTCTGCACCACTGCATGCCAGGATCAATGCATCTGATGTCAGGCTCCACAAAAGGAGGCGTTCGATCAGTAGCCACCTGTAAATGTGTCCCTACTTCTGTCCTTCGGGTGACAGGAAGGGTCTATAGCTGGTGTCCAGGTAGTTCCAGGAGAGAGGGGAAGCTGGACTCAGCCTTCCTCTCTGCAGCCCAGGAAACACCTTATGCTCTTATTGTCTTGCAGGCAGAACATGAGCTCCGGGTGGCCCAGACTGACTTTGATCGGCAGGCAGAAGTGACACGCCTCCTGCTGGAGGGGATCAGCAGCACACATGTGAGTTCCCAAGGGGCAAGTGGTCTGAGACTAATGACCTATAGTGTCCTTCTAGAAGGATACTGTGATGATGCTGAGCCTTTCTGAAGAGGGTTGGGAGGAAGAGAAACCAAATGTGATGCCCAAGTTCATGGGGTAAACTGAGGCCTTAGTGCAAACCTGGAGTGCTCAAGGCAGGGGTATAATGAGCCCTGTACCTTGTGCTATAAAAATAACCAAATTCTACCTGGCACATACAGCTCTGCAGGTGTCAATGCACTTTGCCAAGGTGGAGAAGCCTGGCTCTTCCTATTATCTAGAGGGAGTAACTTGAGCTGTGGGGACTAACTAGCTGGGCTCCTAACCCTGTGCTCAGTTGGCTAGAGCACAAGGCACAGGCTCCAGCTGAAGAGACCCCATCCACTTGTTCCTACATAGTCCCAAACACTTAAATGGAAGCCTCGGTTCAAAAACACCTCTTGATCAAATCTTAAACGCTGTCCTGCACCTTGCTGCCCATGCATCTCTGCTGCCACTTCCCTATACTGGAAATGCCTGTCTGTAGGGAGGGGTTCCCTCTGTGCCACTGCACCTTAGCTCCAGATCACAAACAGACCAGCTGACAATCTGTCTTCTCCCTTCAGGTGAATCACCTTCGCTGTCTCCATGAGTTTGTAGAATCTCAGACTACCTACTATGCTCAGGGCTACCAGTACATGCTGGACCTGCAGAAGCAGCTGGGCAGGTAAGGGATGAGGCCGCCTTGCCTTTGAGGCATCATTTCCTGGTCTCTGTGTTCTCCATCTCTGCACCACACACAAACCTGAGGTTAGGTTTAAAAATCAGGCCCTTAAAGCTTTATTTCTGGGAGAGCTCCTCTGAGCAACCTTTGTAATGGGGAATCATGATCATGCTGCCTAGGCCCAAAGGGATTGAGGTGGTTTTATTATGTGTTTAATTTCAGGATTCACCTTTCTAAATGGATCTATAAGCAACTTGGAGCCACATTGAATTAATAGCTCTTTGGATCGCAAGTGGAACTGTTTTCCACTGAAGTCTAACTTCTGTACCCATAGAGTGAGCTTCCATATGCTGCATGTACTGTGCTGGAGAGCTGGCTGTGGGGTGGGGGTGAGGGGTATTCCTTGGCTAATTGCCAATGCAGTCTGACTTGACCAGGTGGTCTGTTGCTGCAGAATGACTGCAATTTGCTTTCCTTTCCATGCCTGCAGCTCCAGAGGAGAAATGTAAGTAAGATGCCCTAGATGATACAATCAGGAAAGCTCTTCATCTTCTGTTCATGTTAATCATGTATTAACTGTGGATTCTGGAATAGCTGTTAGTACACACAGGCACCAAGAGCATCTAACTGAAATGGTGCTGAACATGACTTGGTCTTGCACTGAGCATGAATGTAAGAGCTGCTGTACTGGGTCATACCATGGTCCATCTTGCCCAGTCTCCTGTCTCTGACAGTGGCCAATCCCAGAGCTTCAGAAAGAGCATACAGAACAGGATGATCATGAGATGACTCATTCCTGATTTCTGGTAGTCGGAGGTTTAGGGTTGCCCCAAGCATGCGGCTATATCATTGACCATCTTGGCTAATAGCCATTGATGGACCTATCCTCCATGAACTTATCCATCTTATTTTTTTGAGCCCAGTTATACTTTTGACCATCACAACATCCCATGGCAATGCATTCAACAGGTAAGTTGTGCATTGTGCAGGAAAGTACTTCCTCTTGTTTGCATTAAACGTGCTGCCTATTAAATTAGGTGACCCCTGGTTTTTGTACTGTGTGAATCATTTTATAATTTCAATAATCTTCCCCCTCCCCCAGAGAGCTGGCACTCTAAGATGAACAGCTCTAATACTTTTAGTATCCTCATTCAGAAGCCAAGCCATACCATACCCTTGAATAACATTTGTTGCCCTTCTCTGAACCTTTCCAGTTCCACAATCCCCTTTTTTGGATGGGGAAACCAGGACTAGACATAATAGTCAGGTGTGAGTGCACCACGAATTTATATAGTGGCATGATATTTTGTCTTGTTTCCTGTTCTTTCCTAGTAGTTCCTAACCTACTTTTTAGCTTTTTGATGCATTATTCTGTATGTATAGATGTAATTCTTTCCAGTGTGCCTTTTTTAATTTAATTTGCCATTTTGTTGCCCATCCACCCAGTTTTGTGAGACCCTTGCCATCTGCTTTAGACTTCACTATTTTGAATAATTTATTGTCAGCGCACACTGCCATTTCACTGTTCACCCCCATTTTCCAGATCACTTATGTTGAACAGCCCAGGTCCCAGTACAGATCCTGGGGGTTGGGGGGGAACCCCAATGTTAATCTTCCTCCATTGTGAAAACTGACCATTTATTCATACCCTCTGTTTCCTATTATTCAACCAGTTACTGATCCATGAGAGGACCTTCTCTCTTATCCCATGGCTACTTAGGCTCTGGCTATGCTAGGGAGCTTACAGTGACATAGCTGCATTGATGAGCTGCACCACTGTAAGCTCTTTAGTGTAGCCACTCTACACTGATGGGAGAGCTCTCCTGACAGCTTAATAACTCCAGCCCACACAAGTGGCAGTAGCTATATTGGTGGGAGAATATATCCCCTAACATAGGGCTGTCCGCACTGGTGCTTACGTCAGCATAAATTATCACTGGGGGGTGGCTAATGCACATCCCTGAGTCTTAATTTGTCAATTTAAGATGTAGTGTAGCCATAGCCTTAGTTTCCTTAAGAGCCTTTGGTGAGGGACCTTGTCAAAGGCTTTCTGGAGGTCAAAGTATGCTGTAGTGATTGGATCACCTGCATCCATGTGCTTGTTGACTCCCTCAGAGAATTCTAATAGATTTGTAAAGGGAAGTCCTGCCTCCCCAAAGCTGTGACTCTTCCCTGACAAGTCATGTTTGTCTAATTCTGCCAATTTGCTAGGTACTGAAGTTAGGCTCACCAGCCTGCAATTGCCAGGATCTCCTCTGGAGCCCTTATTTTAAAAAAAAATTGTTGCATTAGTTAGCTTCCAATCATTTGGTACAGAGACTGATTTCAGTGATAGGTTGCTTACTACAGTTAGTAGTTCTGCAATTTCATATGAGTTCCTTGAGAACTCTTTGGTGAATGCCATCTGGTCCTGATTTATTACTGGTTTTTAATTAATCAGTTCTAAAGCCTCTTCTATTGACACATCAGTTTAGGACAGTACTTCTGATTTGTTACATCAGAGCTGCTATTTTTGGCAGAGAAGCTAAATGAATTCTCTGCTCTAACACTTTAACAGCACAGTTTAATGGCATGTTACACATGACCAGCCATGGGTGCAGTTGAACTTTAATGGGTGTGTGGGATCCACAACCTTATTCAACTACCCCACTATTGATGATCTAGTACAGTAGAGCCTAGAGGCCCCAGCTAAGATTTGGGGGTCAGGGGCATTGTGCTGGTGCTGCCTGCACACAAGACTACAATCTAGGTGGACAAAAAGTGGAAGACAAATGAGCCAAGACCAAGTAACTTGGCCAGGGTTGCACAGTAAGCCACTGGTGGAGCCCAGGTCTCCCGAGTGCTGGTCCAGTGCTCTAGCTGCTTGGCCACACTACCTCGCTTTACCCTTTCACCACAAGAAATCTACTCCAATCTGTCTTAGGTTAAAACTATTGTGACGTTCTCAGTCAGTCCATCTGGGGGTGGCTTCTGCTGAGCCTCCTAAGGGGGAGGATGGGCAGTGCTGCTGCTGAGGACTCAGGCACATTGGCAGTGCGGACTGGAGAACCATCTGTTTTACTCTTGTAAACCTTAACACTACTCTCCAAAGTGACTCAGTGAGTGACAAGACTGTCCCCATAAGCTACAATCGAGCACATTTTGTGTAATGTGACATTAGAGAAACAAACAGAGCTGCCTGATTGGACGCTCAACAGAAAGTTCTGCATGTCTTTTCTGAATCTCTAGTTACCCTGACTGATGGCTTAGAACCCCCTTAGGGAGCAGTTTCCTAGTCAGAATCATGAACCAACAGGCTACCTCTCTTGTGCAATGCTGGAGCCTCACTAACTTGCCTTTTCCTCTTACTAAGGTTTCCAGGTACATTTGTGGGCAATGCAGAGTCCACATCGCCTCCCCCAGCTACCACCTCTCCCCCCACTGTTGCTGCCACCATTCCTGTTGTGCCCACTGTAGGCAGGGCACCTAACCCTGCCACAGCTGTTGAGGGGGCACTGAACCTGAATGATGTCAAGCCTCCAGCCAGCGGGACCCGGAAGGCCAGAGTTCTCTATGATTATGAAGCAGCTGACAGCAGTGAGCTGGCGCTATTAGCAGATGAGGTTGGTATCTGCCCTTGAACTCTCAGCTACTTGCACTCCGTCTGGCACTGCTGCACAGCCGTGCCGGATAAGGGCTTGGCAAGGCCCTTGGTGCTGGGACTAGAGACTCCCCTGCCATTTCACTAGTGGGGCTAGTAAGTGAGCTTGGCTTCTCATTTACACCAGTGTAAATTGGGACTAATTCCTACTGCAATTAGTGGAATGACAGTAGTGGAGAGGAGAATGGGTCCAAATTCTGCAATGCCATAGGTCAACCCGATGGGTACACCCCTGCTGCTTCCTTTTGATCCCACTGAAGTCTCTTGCCATTAATGCACTAAGGCCTCAATGTTACCCAAAGAATTCCTTCAGCTGCCTTGTCTCACCTAACCAAGCCCAGGGGGTTAGATAAAAAGGCCACTCACTTGTTCTTTAACTCTCTGGTGCTGAGGACTGAATGGTCCAGTCCTCAACCACTGGATGGGTAGAAAAGTCCTGGGAAGACATTAATAGTTCAGAGCAGGCTGAAGTTTTAAGCAATTTCATGGCAGTGTCTCTGAACTCCCTTCTGCCATCAGTGAGGGGGAACATCTGAGCGCAGTGCTGTGGCCTGACACAAGTGTGCTTAAAGTCCTGCCATGACTAAACATACAAACTTGGAAGCCACTGACAGGTCCTTGGGGAATTCCCAGGCAAGAGTCTGTCTACTAGTGGGACTAACTCAAAGTGGGCTTTGGGGAAAGGTCTAGAGATGCTGGGAAACACTAGGGGGAACTAGATGGGGTACTGCAGGCAATAAAATAAATCTCAAACCTAATTCTATTCTTGGCTCCATCTGAGGCATGAGATTTCATGTAATTCTCTTTTCTCTCCCAGATGATCACAGTGTACAGCCTGCCAGGGATGGATCCAGATTGGCTCATAGGGGAGAGGGGCAACCAGAAGGGCAAAGTTCCTGTCACCTACTTAGAACTGCTCAGTTAAATGCTGCCAGGAGGGAGAATCTACAAGCAAAATGCAACCCTCCATGTCCTGGCATTTTTAATGCCAATTCCTTCATGAGACCATTGCTCTCTTCAGGGTCAACTCACAACTAACATGGGAATTAGGAAGAGATGACTAGCTGGTCGGAGGGGGAGGAAGGGTCATTTCACCTTTCAAGGCCCCTGGAGCTAAATTCATTTTAACTGTCCACACAGCCTGCTTTGAGGATTAGTTGTAAGGGTCATGTGGTGTGTTGGGATTCCCTCTACTGATCCCTTTCCCCTGCCCTGCTTGTGTTAACTGTGGTGGCTTTCCAGGAACCAGCCCTGTCTCTTCTTCCTCAAAAGCTGCTTGTGGTGTTTGAGACCAAAACTATTTTCTTTTTTGCATTCAGCATCTTCATGCCTGTCTTCCCTCCCTCCCTTTGTCTTCTCAGAGGCTCTTTACCAGGGTACTCCTTGCTTGGGCCACATCATTGTATGCATTCCAATGGGGCAGAGGCGCTGGGTCTCCTTCAAAATGCTAACACTGGCATGCTCTAACAAGAACAGAGGCCAATTCCATGAGGCGCTGTATGGAATATTGCTGTATTTGGATTGCATGTCTCTGTAAGAGAACACAATTCCCCATCCAAAGCACTCCATGACCCAGGGAGGAACAATAAAGCAGGGCTTTAATGCCAAGCAGGGCTACTATAATGGTGTTTGATGGCTGCTGCCTGGCACAGAATGACTAGTTAAACTTTCTTCCAGTTTCACTAATCTAATGACCCAAGGCCACTACTGCAAGAACTAAACCACCTTTCAGTGCAAGGGAATGTGCATCTTGCTTGCATTTCCTCAAGCAATTGGGCATGGACTGAATTTACAAGCCTTTAAAAAAGCTTTTGCTCCCTATGTTCATGCTCACTACTCTTCTTGGGGTTTTTTCCAGGCCTGCTTTGTGGGGGGTGGAGTTTAGCCTGCTAGTCTGTCTTAACAATGAGATTAATTTAAATGCTCTCTTGTCCCATCCAGCTGGTAGTGAACAGACCTGGCGCATCCTACCTCAGCATGTGGGATGGGTCCTTACACTTTGTATATTCACAATGAGCCTCTTACTACCTCTTGGCATATGAAATAGTAATTGGTTCTGCTTTCTCATCCCTCCTTCCCATTTTGTTGTCCAGGGTGCCCTTGTAACTTGAACCATCACAAATAGCAAGGAGGAAAATGGATGAAGTAATAGACACCTTGGTCTGAAAGCTCTCCCTATGAGGTGATGAGCTCAACAGCTAAGGGATTTAGATGGCAAAATAAAATTGCTTTAGCAGCTCAAACCCTGTGTAGAAGCATTCAACTGCACCAAGATCTTTGTTCACTACCCCTCCCCTGGTGTGTCTAGACAGACACTGACTTGCTTGTTTATCCATTGATCTTTTGCACTCTTCCTTGACTGCTTTGTGATCATCCTAATGTAATAGGGCACAGAGCACCTGTGTATATAGGGTTCTTGGTTTTCAGCATTTATTTGCCAATAAACAACCAGTCTGCCCTCCTGTCTCAATCTTGTGTGGGTTCCATACTGCTTCACTTTCCAGCTAGCAGTGAACAGTACTGAGTGGGGTAATGTAACTTAAGAGTTGTGCAGTATTGTTACTCAGATGTCACAAGAAGTTTGAGATTAAAGATGACTCTGAATCCTCTATGGCACTTCTCCTTTTTATCTCCCACCCTATTAGCTTAAACTAAAGTTCAGTGTGAAGCTTTCCAGCTGTGCTAGTACTGTTTAATGTGTCTGCTTGTGGGAGTAGGCTATGTCCTTAATAGCATTCAGTTCTGTACTCTGCTCTGTGTGGGGTTTGGGGAAGGCACAGTCTACCCCTCCCCTTCTAGCAGATCCTGGTATAGAAGTGAACTAGGCAGGCTAACTTGAATTAACAAGTAACAGGGGCTATCTCTAAGCCATGTTTCCCTAGCCCAGACCACAGGTGTGGTTTATAAAGAATACAGCCACACTCTGGTCTGGTAACATTTCCAGTGTTGCTGTTCTGGGCTTGACTATTCCTTTATTGCCACTATAAGCTCTGTTTATTGCTGACTTATCCTAAAATTGTCCCTTCCCCACATTGGGGAAGTTCCAAGAATACCTTTTTATTTGTTCACTTGGCTTCCTTACTCAAATGTTTGGTGTCTGTCTTGCATTTAACAAATACAAAAATCAAGTGGCCAATCCAACCCAAGCTCTTCTTAATGATCCCTATGACCACCATGCTAACTTCCCATCCTGGGCTGTTCCTCAACAGTAAGCCAGACTTAAAGCCATGATGTGGCTTGTAGTCTGTATTGCCTTTAGAATATCTCCTAATGGTGGCAAGAGCTTCCCCCAAGAGGTACTGGCTCCTGACACAGGTAAGTCAAAAGCTGCAGCTTCATGGAAAGCACTGGCTGAATGCTAAGAACAAATATTTGATCTTTTTCCTCTGAACAGCTTCAAGGACTCTTCCTCCTTGCCTGTGGAGCCCTAGTTCTTTGATTAGATGTGAAAGTGACTAAGCAAACCTCAATCCAGTTAACAGCTGTGCTGCTGTGTAGGAAAAGTACTGCCTCTAACAGGCATACACAGAGCTTAAGTTTGTGTGCCTTAAAGTTAAAAGGTTTCAGAGTAACAGCTGTTAGTCTGTATTTGCAAAAAGAAAAAGGAGGACTTGTGGCACCTTAGAGACTAACCAATTTATTTGAGCATGAGCTTTCCTGAGCTACAGCTCACTTCATCGGATGACATGAGCTGTAACTCACGAAAGCTCATGCTCAAATAAATTGGTTAGTCTCTAAGGTGCCATAAGTACTCCTCTTTCTTTTTAAAGTTAAAAGTTGCTTTCAGAGAAGCTGAACCAGTTAATCCTCAAAGCTTCATGTGATACATGCTGGCTGTTTAGAGTGATGCCCAGGACCACTCCTGGGGGCTTTATGGCTGTAATTCAGAATCAAGGTGTTTTGTTTTTTGGGGGCAGCCATACACAAGAGAGGGCTCTAGTGCCCCTGCTTTAATGTTTCAGCTCTCAGCTTTAGAGCAGGTGCACACTACTGCCAACCTGGCAAAACTACTAAGGTTAATAAGTAATACAGGTTTATTTCCCCCTGTCTACTTCATACATTCACTGTTCAGTTTTCAATATTAGTTAAAGGATTAACTTTTTGTAGTGGACTGTTGCAATCTAACCTGCTATATGGCTTCCTAAGCCTTCATCTCATTCCCCTATTTTCTTAACTTGACACCCTCAAACTTTGTCACCCTTCATTGCTCTTCTGAATAATTCAGACTGAGCATGCTGCAGCTAAGGGGCCATGACACCATCCTATTTAAAGTAACTTCACAAGAACCTACCTCTAAATACCATTCACAGTAGCAAACTACTCTGTCTAGTACCAGCCCTCATTACAGCTATTTCACTGACACAGGCTAAAATGAAAGTTCAACTTCATTTGTCTATTAACTGTTTAAAACAGCTCCTTGTTCCTTTCTAATAATGCTATAAATTCCTCAGGCACCACTCTGTGTAGAAAATTAATGCTTAACTTGACAGGTGACAGTCACTAACCACAAAGTGTGCTCTCTACTGTAAACTGACTGTCAGGTGGACTAAAAACATGAGCCAGCTACTGTGGAAAAGGGGGAGAGAGAAGCAAGCAGAGGCTGATCTTGCTGACTAGTTATACAGCTGTCAGTATTTCCCTAATCACCAAGCTTGCCCCTTTTGAGCTGATTCTCTAGGCACAAGGCATGTTTCTATTGCTAGCTCCTCTTGTGAATTTGTTGGTGCTAACTCTTCCTATTCAGCTGCACCTGCTGTCAAGCACTAGTGTCTTCTAAATAAGAGTAGGCCTTAGTCTGTGTGTTGCAGGACCACTCACCTAGTCTGATCTTCCCATCTTACTGGTCATAGCACTTCCCTTTTGTGAATTATTACCCCCTTCACACCTCTGCTAAGGCAGTAAAAAAATCTTGGTAAACTCAGGGTGAGATGATGGCAGCAGTAAAATGCCAGGAATGATTGTCACTAACTTAGTCCAGGTCTTTTCCCTAGCTATAAGTAAGGTTGCAAGTCTGTCACAGATGGGGACTTTCATGACTTTGAGAGGGGCTAGTGCAACTGGCTGTGGCAATCTCAGGCCACTACTGCCCCCCCCAGCAGTGGAGGTCTTGGGCCACTATGTCCCCTACTTCCTCCTCAGTACCCAAGGGGGTCCTGGGCAATGCACTGCCCCACCCCAAACCCAAGATTTAGTCAGGTATACAGTACAAGTCATGGACAGGCCATAGGCTGTGAATTTTTGTTTCCTGCCAGTGACCTGTCCATGACTTTTACTAAAAGTACCCATGACACAAACATAGCCTTAGCTATAAGCTACACCATTCATGGCTGCAAATACATTAGGACAATAGTGGTATATTAAGCACAGAACCAATCCTGACCTAAGATTTATTAATGAGATAAAATTTAACCATTTTTATTGGGTTTCCCACTTAACTGTGACCAGAACATTGGTCAACACTGCAACTAGAAGCTGTAACTGCAGGACTGTCTAGACTGACCTGAGTTAACCAGGGTTCTAGACGGCCAGGACTAGTCCATGCTGCTGTAGCTTCATTGCTGTTACTCAAGCTACTGGGGTACGTGTACACATGCTGCAATCACATTTCCTGACAGCAGCGTACACAGAGCTGAAGGAGGAGCCGTTTCCTGTCCCTACTCCCCCAATGCAGTTGTAGGGAGAAGTTGTCTTTTAAAAGGTGCTAATTCCTGCTCACTTGTAGTAAACATCTCTCACCTTTCTGCAGGGGCCTGGGGTTAAATTAAGGAGTGATATGATGAAAAACACACAGTAGTAGCTTCACCCACAAGGCTTTTTCCTCTACTTCTTAACTTAACCCAGCGTGCAGTGCTGGTATCAGTTAGCACTTATACGACAGGTATCTGAACTGCCTTGTGAAAGTGTAGGTGAGTGAGGTAATCACTTTTATGTCACCAACTTGTGGGTGAGAGGCAAGCTTACACAGCTGCTCTTCACATCTCTGTTGGTGAAAGAGGCAAGCTTGGAAATTGTCCCATAAAGATATTACCTCAGCCATTGAGCCACTCTGCTATCCTGAGACTGACACACCTACAACTACACTGCCTACACCATTGAGAGTCTTAAGTCAACAGACAGCACTAGTCTACTGCAGGGAAGCTGCTGCTGTGCCCCAGACAAAGCCCCTCAAGTCCAACTGTTGTTTATAAATGTTTTAATATCAGTATAAATAGGGCACAGTTACAAAAATGCAAGACCCGAGCTATGGAATTTTTACTTAAAAACCTTTTGGAGGAGGCTGCCTTCTAGTCTTCAGAAATGTACATATCACGCAAATCAACAGCAGGAGGGGGATGGGTGCACACATACGCCATTTTACCTTGCTCTGCCAACCCAGCAGCAGTGCCTGGCACCCCTTTGATACAAAAATAGCAATAGAAAGCTGGTCTCTGAATTGCTGGCTTCTCATGACCCTGTGCCTCATCAGACTCGTACTGATGGGGAGAGGAAGACTGCACCTTGTACTAAGAGCAGAGTTAATGCCCAAAGGAAAATATTTAAAAACCTGCCTCCTCTCCCCCACCCGACTGCTGTGTATAAGCTATAAAAATAAAGGTTTTGACTGGTCAATACTTAAACCCAGCCAGATCACTCTAGCAGGCAGAGCAGCAGGCAAGGAGCATGCATGGACGCAGCAGTTCTTCGAACAGGGCAACATTCTTGGACCTTCTTATGTTCACTCGCCTGCTCAGGTGCAAGCATTCAACAAGATCTATCTCCCCAGCAGATGTTACAACTCAGTTATGAGCCCAACAGAGCATGATGCCTTCTGTTGTGGGAATGAATAGTTCCGGTGCAATCCTGAAATAGCACACAACCTATCTCTGCACATGTCTGACAAAGGCTTGTACCAGCTGAATCAAAGGCTCCTGCCCCTCAGGGCCAAGCTTGGAGGCAGACTTTCCCTGGGGGGAGGGAAGAACCCCACTGGCTGGAGAAGAGGGGCCGCCCCGGCGAAAGTAACGAGACAGGCTTGAGAGCAGCGTACTCTGAAATGAGAAGTGCACAATGAGTTAGCTTCCCCAGGACAGGAATCCTGGGAGACTGTGCCACCTGACTTTGTGACCCAAAGCGGGAGGTCTTGAGGCACTCTACTGGAGACAGGAACTGGCTGCCACTGACCAGTCAAGAACTAATGGTCCTCTGCCGATACTGCATTTTCACTGCATCATTCACAGCCAAAGGGGCAAACCAAGATAGAAGTAGGCACTGCAGAAGCACATCATAAATCCCTGTCCCATTTTCACTGCGCCTCCAATTTGAGGCTCGCAATGTGCTTTACACACCATGATTTAAGCCTCTTGATATTTGTGAGGCAAGTCAACATTACCCCTTAAAGCCTGGGAAAACTGGCATATTTAACCAGCTTGCCCCTGCTCAAAGAGTGTTCTATGATGTTGCAAATCCAGGAACAGAGTTTGTTATCCAGTTCTGGGTTTTAGTCTCATCTGTTCTTCTGCAGATTCTATGCAGCTCTGTGTATTTATCCTCCAAAGTATCACTGAGCCTTACACACAGGAGGATACTTACATGGCCTTGACAGCCACGGTAGAAAGGTCTGAATATTTTA